GCAGGCGCCGCCGGGGGCCTTGTCCCAGGTTCTGGAGCGGGGCCGTGCTCGGGTACCTCCGCCATGGCTCTTGCGGGTCCCCCCAGGGCGGCAGTGGCCAGGCCGACCATCGCGCCCACGAGAGTGAGGGTGACCGTGCCGGAGGCCTTCATGGTGCTCCACCTGAGGATGAGGGTGGTGGAGGAGCAAACCAGCACGCTGGTGCGAGACCTGGAGGAGCTCGGCATCGATGGCAAGAGGTAGGGAGGAAGCAGGGTAAGATTTTGCCCTTGATCAACCTGGTCTAGGGGAAGGTGCCCCCGGCTACGAAAGGGGGTTGGAATAAAATGATCTTTAAGGTCCCTTCCAACCCAAATCATTCTGTGAGTTGGAATTTGGGATATTAATTAATTTTCCTCTTCTTGGTCCTCTTTGCACGTCTTTGTCATGCTTTGTTCTTCTCACCATGAGGGAGCTGGTGCTGGCAGCATCAGCAAGAACAGGCTACAGCAGTCTGGGGTCACTGGAAACCTTCCAGCTCTGTGAAACGTGGTTTCTAATCTAATCACATCTGTAATGCATACATGCAATGTCAGGTGGGTTTGCATACAGAGTAGGTCAGTCTTTTCTCCTTTTCAGCCTTGATAATTTCCACTCGGAGACCTCAGAAGCACCCGCTTGTCACCCAGCCATTAGCCCTGTGCAGGCTAGGGTAGCATTTGTGGGAGAAAATACACTGTGGAAGAACTGTGAGAAGCTGGTGAATCGAATGTGTCGGTTAGAGAGTGTTGTGCAGACACTGAAATCAAACGTCTTCCAGCTGCAGGCAGAAAAGGAACTGAATTCCAAGCACACAGGTAGTAAAAAGGGGGGGAAGGTGCATGTATTACCTCGTTCTTCATTATCCCTACAATTCCTTTTTCTGTCAATTAAAACTTTTTGCCTTTTCGGGTGCAGCCCAGTTGGAGCAGCACCTGAATGCACTCCACAAGGAGCATTTGCAAGAAATGAAGACTGTACAGCAAGAAGCAGTGAAGTTGCACCAGCATCTGAGTGATGTGAAAGAGGCTGAAGAAAAGGCAAGAGAGGAAGTTCGGAGACTGGGTACTGCTCTGGAGATTACAACTTCATCCAAGGTAAAAGATTATGAGCTTCCAATAGTTTCAAGCATGAACAGACTCGTTTTTAAGTACGTTAATCTTTGACATAGTTAAACAGGACATATATTCCAGCTGGAAAAGGGAATCTATGTTATATTGTTGGTAGTAAGAGCAAACACTTTTGATAAGGAGAATCAATTAAAAAAAAAAAAATCACATAGGAAATCAAGGATAAAAATATTGAGGATTTGTAATTCTCTCATCTTTATGACTTCGGTTCATCCCATCCAAGCTTTTCCGTTTTTCCAGGAATTTCTCTGGTGTTTCAGTCTTATACTTCTGTTACTACTTCACCTGAAGAGAATTCCAATGGAGTATGTCACTCAATCTCATTAATTGTATTAAAGAATGTGTTGCTTCTTAGCGCTTGCACTCATATTCAGTGCTTCAGAACAGAGAACATGAGGCTGGAGATAGAAATCAAGTTCTGGGTGTTAGTATGGCAGTTGTGTTCTATAATACCCATTGCTTTTGCAATAGTTATGAACATGCCAGGATAAAAATATCTGTTCCTTTCATTTTCTTTAGATGGATGTAGTAATTGCAGCTGAGGAACTGAGGAACACAAAACAGAAGATTAACTGTAGACTTCAGGAGGTAAGTACGGGAGCAAGGAGCTCAGTAGGAGGCTAAATTTGCCTAATACTTAAAGATTTGAAGAAGGTGATTCTTAAATAAAATTCTGGGTAGAATTTTGGAATGTGCACAACCCAAAAGAACCTGCCAGCCGTGCTCATAACTAAATACCCAGACAGAACATCTTTCATATATGATCTTGAAGTATTTGTGCAATCTACTTAATTAGACCTGGGCCAGAAAGTGTTTATTTTTCTAGCTCACAGAACGGCTTTCCCAGGAGATCAGCCTGCGGGAGTCTCTGGAGGAATCCCATGCAACTGTGCAGTGTTATGTACAGGACATGGAAGCAATAGTAGAAGCAGAACGAAAGCAGGTTTGAGAAACTTTCAGTCTTTTGTGTCTGTTTTCATCTTCTGTTTCATCCAAGAGCAAGAACTTGGATGTTGTTCTTAGAAATCAGTTGTAACACTTCATAACTACAACATTTTGTACAGAGGTTGATCAGAAGACATCATGTAGTGAAACTTCCTGTTCAAAGTAGAAATATCACTAACACTGGACTGGGGCATTGGTGGATTTGTTCAGCAGCACTGTTCAAAGACTCCGATTCCATGGCTGCTGTAGGCATTTCTGATAGTACTGTCATAATGTTCCAGTTAATATTTTTTTCTGACATCCAGTCTGAACACTCCAAGCTTAAATTTGGGACCACTGCCCCTTCTTAAATTCATTCAGTGCAACTGAAAATGAATATGACTTCCTAATGTTTATAACTGCTACTCAGATTTGTGGGTCACAACTGGATCCTGCCTTAACCTCTTCTTCACCAGGCTGTACAAACCTCTTTATAATTGAGGTACCAATAAATAGAAAAATATTCTGTTGAGATCATAGCCTTTCTTGGAGTAAGAATGCTTTCATCATTAACTGCCATAACGACAAAGCTAGATTTTTGTTTTCAGCTGTATTTGTATTATCTAGCTATTTTGGAGGGTGGGGAGGGGCGATAGTTCATAGTAGAAATGAACTGACTTACACATAATTCACTTAACTCTGCATGCATATGCACACACCAGCCACATGCAGTCACTCTAATACTTCTGAATTCATAGCAACAGTTTAGTAAGGATAAAGCAAACAGCAAAGTATCAAAACTTGAAAAACTGAGCTTTGTTGTTAGGGTTTTTATTTTTTGATAATCATCAAGGTCTCTTTGTTTCCGAAACATACAAAGTTCTGTTAGAAATTACCAATTTGGGGTTATTTTTTACCCTACGTGCCTTTTATTTTCTTTGTGTTCTACAGCAGAAGTAGAAAGATGATGGAGATCTGATTGAACTGTATGAATTATATATATCATGGAAGAAACAAAGGCTTAGTTTCATTAATCTGTCACTTGCTGATGGGTATAGTTGACCATGTTGCATTCACCTTCATCTTCAATAGCATGTTCTTTTCTGCCTATCATGATTATAAGCACACATACACTGTGTTACATATAGAAATCTGTAGAGTTCCTTGCCATAAACATCTTCTGCATAAGACAGGGATGAGCAGAGAGGAGAAGCTGACCAGGCTATATCTTTTCCACTTAGATTAACTTTTCAGCCTCTGAAATCTGGTTAGGTTTGCCTGACTGAATTCCGCATCTTAAAGAATAATATGTAATATCATTGCAGGTACAGATACTACAGCAGGACTGCCACAACTTGTGTAAAGATGTCCAGCTAGCCCGAGTGAGGCTGCAAGAGGAGGAGAAAAGAGCTGCACAGCTGGAGCAACAGTGCACACAACTGAAAGCTGAGCTGGGTATGACAGTGGATTCTTGTCACATCCTCTTAGCCCTTCTCTGACTGCTTCCACAGTGAGAAGAAACAAGCACCAGACCTGTTACTTGAAGAAACTTCTGAGTGAGCCCTTGATTCCCTCCCTACCCTGCTCATGCTGAATTGTCTTTTGCTGTCTTCCTATTTTTCCAGTATGTTATGCAGCACAGCAGAGTAAGAGGCTAGCTAATATAGGCAGGTTGATTCAAATTCCAACAAAAAATGCTTCTGGGTTTAAATCTGTGTGGTTTAGCACGAATCTGATCTAACTACTGCTCTTTATCAATGCACAGAAATGTTGTTTAGGGGCTGTGGGTTATAGTTGGCACATATCAGTTTCTTACACGCTTGACAACAGAGTAAGATCCGTAGTGTTATTTGACTTGCTGAATCAATCACAGAAGTGGTATGTGGAGGAGGCTGGCATGATGACATGCTTAATTTAAAAAATAAATAAATTACAATTACTCTATGGAATCAGTTTTTCAAAGTTGTTTTGCTGAAATACTGAAGTTGTCAAGGAAAGTATTAAACAACGTATCTGTAGCAGTCTTACCTGTTTGTGGCATATTCAGTAACTCAGCTAAACTCAAACTTTAAATCAAAATGTCACCTTTTAAAATTACCAAACAGATAACAAAGTCTGCCCTGACATTCTTTTCTATTTTTAGACTCCAGGAACTGTATCATTTCCCAGCTTGGTGAAGAAACAAAAGTAAGTTGTAAACAAGTATTGGTGAGGAAAATATCTAAATAAAGATCAGAACAGCCTATGCGAGGCCTTTCAAATGTACCATATTCAGAGGCAGAAGTTTTATGTAGACAAATGCCAAGTGTCACCAAGGCTACTAACCATTGAATGTCTTATTTTATTGGTTTACTATTTTGGGGCTTTCATATTCTACTGAAACATCAAAACCCTGATACGAATGCCTGCCTTGAAAAGCTAGAACTGGCCCCGAAACACAGTTGTGGTTGCAAAGGTACTGCATATAAAGGAGATAGATGGGTTGGTGATTGATACTACAGAAAAAAATCAGAACCTTGGTCAACTGGCTACTGAATGGGTGAGGAGGTATGTTACTCCTATGGAGGGAGTGTAGCTGCTGTCTGAAGTCTTCTCTGAAAGAGGAAGTTTCAGTAAGATGAGGTAAAAGTTCAGCTGAGCCATGGAGTCTCATAATGCTGGCAAAGGCTTCCTCAATTTGTGAATTGTACCACTTCTGGCAGGGAGGTCTCTTAAGCTCAGAAGTGTTGAGATTAATTATACTGGAGACTAACAAGTTTGAGCTCAGAAGGATATGAAGTCACCCTCAACTTTCAAAGCCAAGTTACAGCAGGTACCACTTTGGGTATTTCATATTTTGGAAAGAGGCTTGTATTATATGAGCCATGCCCAGTGCTTGCAAGAACACATGGTGATGTGACAATAGCTTAAGGAAATAGGCAAGTACAAAACAAAGATTTGATATTTGTGAAGTGTCTGACTAAATGACACTTAAATTTTTCTCTTAGTGTTCCGTTTTATTGCCCCTTAGAATGCACAGCTGTCCTTAAGTAAAGAACGCAAGGAGAACCTGCAGCTTCAGTCTAAAATGACCACATTGGGAGAGACAGCAGAGAAAGTACAGGTAATGAGAATAGTTATTCTTGTTTTTAAGATGGAAATAAAGCATAACAAAACAAGTGATTACAGTGAGAAATGATTATACATTAATGGGAAGCCTCAAATGCAGGTGAGGAGACAATTTAATGCACTCTGGTAATGCAGGCTAATTCAATCACTAGCCTAGGTAACTGTTCCAGATTTCCTAGCCTTAAGGCTGGAAAATGTTCCTCCCAATACTTATTTTGAATCAGGTATTTTTGAAAGTGTCTGCTTCAGGGGCCAGGACGTGTAGGGCTACTGCTGCTCCCTCTTCTATCTACCCTTGAAGTGGTACATTTATATTCCTTTGCACCTGTAGATTCTACAGGAGTATGTTTCTATTAATGAGTCAAACATGGAGTACCTGGTTGACTGAACTTTCCTCTGTCTCTTGGGGCAAAAGGTTCAATTTCATCTTTATCTGTAGATAACCAACTATGAAATTAGTAGGGGTCTGTATTCAATTTTTGTCTTTTTTGCCTTAGAAACATTACTTTTTCCTGAACTTCAAAACTAGTAAGTGATAATGCTTGATGGGTAGTTTAAACTACGTTCTCTTTCTTCCACATTACTGTAAACTTTTAACACCTTGGAATAAGTCTTCCACAAGTAGGGACTACTTAAACAAATTTTTCTTTGAGACTTTCTACCTAAAATAGATTTTTCCACATCTGCAAGAGATTTTTTAGAAGTTTCTGACAGGCTCCTATGCAGATAAAAAAGCCCCAACCCCCTGAAAACGTGTTTGTCATCCTCCTCCTCCTCTCTAACCAGGTCCTTAATGATCGCTTAAGCCAGCAATGCTCAGAGCTCAGCACCACACTCCAAAGTGTTGCCATGGAGAATGCTAAACTCATTTCAGACCATCAGACTGTGCTTAAGGTATGAGCCTACTGTTAAAGTCCGAGAAAGTTTGTAGCTCAGATGTTAGACAAAAGACTAATTCCTAATACTGATAATCTGTGGGAACACAGTAAAATACTTCACATACAGCAATGGAAGTTCAATAAAGTGTTAGTGTCCTTCTTTGCAAAGATTTATTTTCAATACAAAGAGGTCATATGTTTTGGGGAGAGAGTGTTAATGTGATAATACTAATTACAAATACATCCTGTAACAACTACTAAGAAAGAGGAACATACGAATTAATGGGTATTTTAAGTACTGTAAAAGCAGAAGTTAAGTGGAAGTAATAAGGATCTGAGATTAAAAATATATATACATAAAAGCTAGGTAAGGTGAACTCAGCTTTGACACCCTATTCAAGAAGCAGCACACCACAATATGCAGAACTTACAGGGATGTTGCAGGAGCTCAATGACAAATGAACAGCTTTGTAAGTTAATTACTCATCCTTCATCATTCTGATGTTGGTGTTATTGCCTGGGTCATTTTTCCCCTTTAGGCAGAACAAGACAAGACACATAAGCTGCAAGAGCAAAACTTGCTTCTGAATGCTGCCCACAACAACATTCTCGGAGAGCTGCAGAGTGTGCACCATGAGAGGTCTCAGCTTCAAAAAGAGCTGTGAGGAGTTTTCTTGTCTGCAGCCTCTTTCCCCCCTTCCTCCATTGTATTCTCACCACCTTGATTTCTGCTTCTCTAGCACTTGTCACTTAGTAATACAGAAGGGCCAGTTTGGTATTTGATATGAAGGCCATCTTCTGTGCTTCTATTGTGCTAGAACTCCAGCTTGGCTATTTCTTCTTTCTTTAGGGAGGCCTTGCGTACAGAGCATGGCAAATACAGGCTGAAGGCAAGCCTTGCTGAGAAGGCAGCAGCCACACAGAGACAGCTTCTGGAACGTACTGTTGCTAGACTGCAAGATGAACTTGAGACAGCTTTGCAAGAGAAAAGATCTCTGCTGGCAGAAAAGGAATATCTTCAACAGGAGGTACAGAAAACGTAGTTTTAAAACTACATTCTTGAAGGCTGCTTTCAGACCCACACCCCTAGGGTTCTTACTGACATACTGTTGCAATAGCCAGCGTGACATGCTCTCCCAACTATGCTTGCATTTTGACTTGTAATGTCTCCTCTCAGAAGCATGAAAAGGGAGAGAAGACAGGGCAGCGTTGCAGATACTATTTCTGAACTTTGAACCTGACTTACAACATTCGGATCAACTGTTCTGAAGATGTGTAGTATTTCTATGAATCTAGATGTTTTCAGGTGACAATAATTTCACATTTCTTTTGACAGATAAGGACAAGAGCAAATGAAACAGTACAAGAAAGGAATAAACTGGAAGTACTAAAAACAGAGAATGAGGTATCTTGCAATATATATTGCTGTTCTTTAAATTTAGTATTGTCTCTCTCAAGTTTTGCTTTCATTTTGCCTAATCTCTCAATTATTGCTAAACACTATAATATTCACCATAACCATACTATTCACTTTGCTGGTTGATATTTTTCTTGTCTCTATGGATGTGTCCTTTGGAGCAGCAACTTTACTGCTATCTGCACAAGGCCCTGTTAAGCTTGTTATGCTACTATCGCAAGTGATAAATAATTTTCAGCTTCTGGTAGCTGTTTACCTGTGTAGATTCCTTACATACGCATAGCCTGGAAAAGGAAAGGTAGAGTTTGTGGTATGAATGAGAAATTCCTTAGTGTCGTGACTGAAGTTAGTATGATTCTTTCACTGTTGTAGAATTGCTTTCTAAAGTGGGAAGACTGTATCTAATCCATGTGTAGTGCTAAGGTTTTGTGATATTGTGACTGTGGAAATCTTGAAGGGGTACAATTAGTGTTTATTTTCTTGTTTGTAGCTAGAAATTATTTCAATGAAATTCACTTTGCAAACACTAGAGCAAGAGAAGAAGAGGCTATTGAATCACTTGGCTGCGCTGGTACATGAGCAGGTAAGCCACTAAAGAAGTGGTTAACTGGTGACCTGATGGAGAAGTAACTAGGAGGAATCAAGGTGCTCTTTGAAGCATCTGTATTTTCCGGAGAGTGGCTGATGAAATTAAGGAATCAAAAAGGGGAAAAAAATGAAAGGATATCTCAAATGTTACTCCATGTTTTTAGACGTCTATGTGGGATGAGCTAAGAGGACTCTATAGGGCTTCAGGTACTGGAGATTTAGATATGTCATTAAAATCCTGACTGCATTCCGTTTCCTAATACAGGCATACAGCTTGTATATCTGTAAATGTATATTCAGCTTATGTATACTGGGAAGGTATTAACAACAATTTTATGCATTTTGGGGACAACTCTTCACTTGGGATATCATTCCTCTTTTTAACTTGTTCCCATTCCATTATTTCTCACTACTCTCAGTCACCAATATCACAATATTTGACTGGTTCCAGAAAGGTTGAGCAAAAGCTTAGTGATACTGTGCTACCAGTGCTTTTACAGTGTTAGATGTAATGAGCAGTTGTGTTTGTTGGAGACCCTAAGAAACACTTAGCTACTGATAAGGTCCTTACATCACAATCCTAAAGAAGAATTAACTGAAACACCTTTTGAATGTTTGTTATTTGATAAAGTCACATTTCTGCAGTCTGTAACATACGTATATCCTCTTTCTGTCTAACACAGAACTCCTTTGGCAGTCATCAGTTACAGAATATGAATCAATAGAGCATTCAGAACCTTAAAAAGTAGCTTATTATTTTACTCTTTACCAAGTTATTTTAATTCTGCACGTGCCTTCTCATTCTTCTAGTTATTATTGCTTCTCTGTTTCCTGTTGTCAAAGGTTTCTTTCATCTCTCCCATTTTGTTGCCTCTGCTCTATGACAGTGGCCTTATCGTGGCCATCTGGAAGGTTGTACCAATTTGAGCAGCTCTTCCTAAAGATTAAGCTGTCTTACAGAAATTAATGCCATTTGTATTACTTACTTTTTTAATATCTGTTTTAGTGTTTCACCTAATTGAGAATTTGTACCTCAAGCAACAGATGAAAGTTAAAATACTCAGAGAGAAACAAGACACTAAGTACTTTTTTTGTTGCTTTTTGCCTTGTTTTTCCTATGGAATGGTGATGTCTGCTGGTTTTTTTCCTCAGTATGCCCAGCAGCAGATGCAACAAGTGCTGGCAGAGCTGACTGACAGCAAGAATAAACTGACCTGTGACAAAGGAAAACTTCAGGTACCTCTCAGCATCCTATTTATCAGCTCAAAAGTGAAACAACCTAAGATAAGGTTGCTTAATCTTAGCTCTTTGGTACTTAATTTGGAGGGAAGTGCTTATTGATCTTCTCTACTTAATTTGTGTACTGTCAAGCACATCTATTGAGAGTTCTGTATCAAAGTCATCTTCGTTCCTGCTCATACTTATAGGGTGACAAAATGCTGTTAATGTAGTATCTCTATGATTTGTGATTATTCAATTGCTTAATGTGTGAATAAGTAGGATGGCTAAGAACCATTTCTTACTTCCATGTTCGGAAGCATTCCATACTCTTGGCACTGCTGCAAGCATATAGGTTACGTATAAAAGAACCCTTTAATAAAACTCAAATAGATGACTGATTTTCCTGCTCCTTGTTCTAATGATTTCATGTACTGCAGGTGGCAAGCCTGCAGCACCAGCTGGACACAGCAAAGGATGACAGCAGTAAGGCAACAGCCATGCTGGAGCGTGCATTAGCGTCTCATAACAAGATGAAGGCACTTCTGGATGTGGTACAAACTGAGCTGGCACATAAGGACACTGAAATCAACAACCTCAGAAGAGACAAGTAAGTGAAACTGATACTGTTTTAGTGGTCTATCAGCAGTGTGGTGAAGACTTCAAGTTGAAGAGTGGCATCTTCCCCATGGCTCTGGCTAATAAGCTATACAACAAATTTGTTTGAGAAGTTTCCTTTCTCCTTTCCTGCAACACTGAAACAAACTTAGTACCAGTGAACCAAGTACACCAAGTGCTTGTAGCTAACTCTGCAAGCTTGGCAGGCCTTGTGCATCCTGTGAAAAGTAGGTAAAAACCAATTTAACTTCACTGACAGGCAGAACTTAATACGGTTAAGGTAGAGAACCAAACTGTGGGATGGTCTCCTCTTCAGAGGAGATGTGCACAGATTGACTTAATGCATAATCTTATAATCCAATTTCCATTTTCAGGAGCCAGACTCAACAGAAGATACAGATGTTGGAAAGAAAACTGAAACATTGCCAAGCCAAAGTGGTTGCCATTGGAAGGCAGCACCAGAGCCAGGTAGAGACCACATCTTTCCATAGCAACAGCCACTGCTGCATTTTTGGTGTTGAGCCAAGTACCTTTTCTTTTTCTGAATACAATATGGTGTGACAGTCATGTGAATCAAGGCAAAAATATTCTATCCACTTTGGGCTGTGGAACAGGGAAATCATTATCCCAGTGTTGAAGGAGGCAAGCACCTCCTCTAAAGAAAGATTCCTTGGCACAGGTGAAGGTTTTACAGTCTGCAGCTGGATACATAATATGAACAGATATTTTGGAAGTTTATTACACTGATTTTTTTTCTTACTAGAATGGAGGAGGAAGGAGTCCAAGGAATTGCTGTCATCCCTCCTCATAATACTTGGTATCAGAAAGATTACTTCACAACCCAAACACAGTCACTATTGGCAAAGAACACTTTTTTCCAGGAAAGCCATGCCTATATGACAAGTTGTTCAGATCCTTCTGACTAAGCCAGTCAGTGAATTGGCATGGTAAGGTTTCCCATCTAGATGCCTGTCCTTAGGACATGTGTAATCGGACAGTTGATGAATACACTGTTACTTCCTCTAAGTTGATACTGACTGGGAAAGGGAAAAAAAATGGTCCTTTCTAAGCTTTTCATTTGGGTAAGTATAAATCTGATTTTTTGTTACTGAACAGGTGGAACCACTTTGTAAGGCACTAGAAACAGCTAGAACAGACAAGAAGAAACTTGTTGTTTGTTTGGAAGAAGTTTTGCAGGTCAGTAACACCCTGCAGAGCAAGCTGATCCAAACTCAATGTGAACTGAAAAGTAAAGAAACAGAGAATCAGCAGCTGATGATCTGCAGGTAAGAGCAAATCCATAATACTATACTTGAAGAGAAACAATACACTAACATCAGAGCTTTATGGCTTTACTCATCCATCAATATCAGCATTGAGTGTATGCTGAGCCAGCAACATGATCAAGATAGGTTCACGCAGAGCTATAGAAACAGGCTCTTTCATTCATTCCCATAATGACTCTGACCTACTCAGCTATACTGAGGAACTGCTTACCAGGGACATTATGGCACTTTTCCACAGAGCTTTTCCCTGAGGATAGCAGATACCACTTCCGCTTTTGAAGTGGCCTGCAGTAGCTTTAGCAAGGACAGCAGAGAATAGCTGTTTAAATTCCCCACCCAAGATTGAATGTCTGTAAGTAAAACCTCAAACCTAAGTGTAGGTGTGGTCTGAGTTTCCTCATTATCCTTTGTCTAAACAGGCTTAGCAATTTCTGAAAGGAAGTAAGTTGTCCTAAAGTAGTTTTTACCAAAAAATCTGTTTACCTTATATAGGTATTTTGAACTTCTTTTTAAATAAATGGAATATGAAATACTAGAAAACACATTCCTATCTTTAAACAGCAGTGGTGCAGAGAGTATATCCAAAAGTATTTACAATTGAATTGTCTTTCCTATTCTTGTGTTTAAAAAAATAAAGCAAATACAAACGCGATTAACTGAATTTGTCTCTGCTCTTTAAAGGGAAGAGTTAACGGAAAAAGACAGGCCAGAGGAAAAGACATGTGCTGCACACTTAGAGCCTTTGAAGCAGCAGCTTCAAACTGAACAAGCGGCTTCCAGGAAAGCCACATGTCATGAATCTGCTGAGGTGAGAAGGGATAGAAATTAGAAGATTTCAGTGAATGTCTGCCAGAGGAAGAGGTCTGCTTTACCATTTTCCAACAGAACAAGAGCAGCTCATGACAACTATTTGTCTCATTTTCCATTCATCGTGGAATTATCCATCACTTTTATACAAAAAACAGAATTCTGTCGTGTTGTGGACAGGCACTTTAGTGGCCATCTGCAGCGATATCTGTGCTCTCTTCACTCTCTCAAGTACCACTCTATATCCCCCAAAACTATCTACCTCATTGAACACAACATCTAAACATTGCTATCAGTCATGCCACTGACTTTCAGAGGATAATCTGGGGTTGTATAGCAATCTCCAGGGATAAAATACTGGTTTGGAAATCTGCTTTGTTTCTTGGGGACTGGATCACAAAGCTTAGCAAAACCTTATTACTCAAATGCCTTTGTTAGAAGGGTATTAAAGTCAAAACACCAGGTGCTGTAGCATGCTTCAGATACAGCAAATCAATTGGGTGTGCTTATTAATTTTTTATAGAATAAACTAATTTGTCAGTTAATGTGAACTCACTTTTTCCTCTTTCCCCTAGATAAAGAAATCCCTTGAAGAAGAATCCTCCAAACTGGCTGAAGTTTCCTGTGCTAACAGGGAGCTGCAGCTGAAAGTAACAGAGCTGGAAAAGTCTTTTTCCAGTTACAGGAAAAAGCTAAAAAGTCAAAGAGCTCAAGTCAGACAATGCCTGGCCTGTAAAGCTAATGCAGGAAGGATAAAGGTATGCACAGGTTTTTCAATAAAGGCAGATGTCCTAGTTGAGAACCCCTTCCTTCTCCTTCTGAGTTGGACTGCTGTTGATCCTTTGCAGTGGAGCTGGACTTGAAAATAAAACTAACTTTGTATTCAAATTCTGAACAGATTGATAGCACAGTAGTATTATGGCTTCTCCTGTCATCCCTCCACACCCAGATCAAATTTGATGCCCTAGAGTCCCATCCCCCTACTAGATTTTTATAGTAGCATTTGTCCTCTTTATTATATTGTCAGGTAAAGTGATAATGGCATGAAAAAGTAGTGACACCCATAGAAGCATTTTTGTGCAAAATCTATGGGCTTGTAGAAGAGGTGGTACAAAGAGTTTATGAACTCAGTCAAAAGATATTCGTATAAATCTTACTGTGTCTGCTCCAGAAAGCTCAAGTTACAACTTAACATACATTCACTATATATCTGACTTTAGAGGGAGACAGTTTTAGGGGGTTTTATATGACAGAACTCTAAGCTATTTACAGTGGGAGAGTCCTTCCCTTACATCGCAATTTTTTATTTGTGCCATGAAAAAACTGCATATAAATTAATGTTACTTCTTTTTCTACTCAGGAACTGGAAAAAACAGTCAAACATCTGAAGAAATGTAAAGAGGAGACACAAGAAAAACTGAAGGAAGCTAGCATAGACTCAGAACAGGTGAGACTAGTTAGCATTAGAATAATAATTCAGTGGAAGTAACAAGCTAGTATTTCAGCATATGCACCAAGTTACCCTCTCAATCTCAGATATAGGTCCCTGGTGACGAGTGAAGTGCATCCATGGCCTTTTCAACTAAGTGACATTTATCATATTAAAAAAAAAAAAAAAAAAAAATAAAAATCAACCAACCAACCAAAACCAACCCCAAAACAATCAAAAAACCCCTTTAGTTTTGTTTTGATCTTTTCTGTGAATCAACTTCCATTTTCTGGGGCTTGTAAGAAGAGCTTTTATCCCTTACAGCCTCTTGTTTTTATCAGGCTTAGGAAATCTGCATTAACCAGCCAAACAGAAGTGTTGTGGCCAAGTAAATTGCCCCACTCAGCTGCTCTTGTGTCACTCTACATGTGACATCATGCAAAACCACATTTCACACACCCACCCACCCTAAGAAGTCATTTGTCCTTGCATCACCTTATCCTTGCACTACTGTACCATAATATCCAAATTATTGCATGGGTTGCTATAGTAGTTTGGGGTGAAAATCTAGGGGTTTAGAAGTTTTATAGGGTGTTAACCAGCATAAAGTAAAATAAAAGGAATAAAGGTGCCCCAACCTGAGGTCTAACATGCTGCTTGTCAACCCAAGTACTGTTCTGTGGTAGAAAGACACCTTAATAGCAAGAGAGTATTTCTACAGCATTCTTCAGGCAAAGTTAGTCTTCCCCATCTTTCTCAGGAGTTTGTGGTACTCCACATCCATTTTCCCCCTGCTTCTTCCCAATGGTTTATGCTGTGTTAGAGACCAGGGCTGACTTCATTGCCCCCCCTAAGGGAGGTGCAACTTTGTAGTTAGGACCTCTCTGATACGGCCTTTTCACAGCAATAGAGGAGGGCATCATGGAGAGCTCCTACCTCCATGTACAGGAGAAAGATTGGATAAGAAAAATTATGAGAGAAAGCATATGCTGATCTGCCTGTTCTTTCACAGAACTCAAGAACTGGAGCACAGCATGCACTGACTGTTCTCTCTGCAGTTCTAATTACACTGTCTTGCCTAGATCACAAGTAGCATAAAAGCAGCTCACCGTCAGTTCAAATCTAAGTTTGACTACCTGCAACTAGAAGCTGTGAAAACACACCAGCCAAAGAACCCTGAAGACAGCAGCTCCAACAAGGAGGTAAAGCAAGCAAGCAAGCACATTTGGTTCAAAGAGGGAAGCAGAGAAAATAAGCAGGGGAAGTATTTGGTAGCTCCTTATCAGTCAAGATTACGGTTTCCTGTATTTCCTTTTGTAGTTCCTTACACGGGTGGAAAACAGACCCCTCTTCTAGTTTAGTTTGTTTCCTCCTTTTTTGCCAAAGGACATACTGAAGCAGCAAGGAGTATTACAGGTACAAGATAGCTTCCAGGGACTGTTTCTGTACTTAGAAAAGCTCTATTGCACATGTTTTGTTAATGCACATTAACCAAATACTTTTCTGAAAGCTCGCAGCTAGTAGATTTCTTTCTCTGCATTCACCTGTTTCACTGGTTCTCCTTCCCCTCATCCATGCCTTTTACAGATACCTTTTCAAAAGCCACACTTACCTTGTTTGTGTAGATTCCTCAGCCTTTTCCATAATTGATAGTTCTTACAGAGGTATGTAATTAGCTTTTTAGAGACATATGTATGAAACTGCTGAAACTTCAGTCTCTTCTTCAGTAAGGACAGAGATTCCCCAAACAGTCACCAGCTTCATAAAACATGGCATCTTTTCCCAGCAGAAAAAGCAAGAAGAGCATCCCACTCACACCTCCCTGGACAGCACAGCAAGACCCAACAGCTCCAGCTCAGCACCAGGAAGGCCACGTGAGCTGGGCAGGAAATGAGCAACCTTGTCTGGGTGATTCCCAGCCCAGAAAGAGCATCAGCTGCGACCAGAAAACTCCCAACTAGCACCCAGGTGCTGGAGGAACTGGGAACTTTAGTTGATCTCACATTATTAGGTAAGTCTCTAGCACTGAGAATGTATTGCAGATAAAAGGTGCTCACAGGGCACTACATATAGGGGACTTGGGATTGCTTGTTTAAGTCATAAACTCTGATTTGAATTAAATCATACCTCTCACCTGGTCTTTCTGACTCAGGTTCTTTGCACTGTGAGGCTGATGTAACTACCATTTATAGCAAAACAATTACTCTTTGAATGTTGATATGCTGCATCTTTCCTTTCATCCCTTTTCTTTAACAAGCTGTAGACTAAGGCCTGGCAAGTGCTATCAAAACAAATCTCAGACTGGTCTGCAGAGGGTTCACGTGAGTGACCAAAGACCAAGTCATGTGTCTGTGGCTGGATGCTGACGTGACTGGGACAGGGTGGAACTGGCAGGACTGGCTGCTTCTAATGGCAGATGATACCTGGGTCATGAGAGAACACAAGCCTTGGGCTATTTTACAAGCATATAAGGAACACATTAGGTGTGTGATGCTATACCACACATCATCTTACTGTCATAAGAATTAGTGGAATTTGTTCAACCTCTTCTACTGTGGAACAACCCACTGGGGAAGGAGCAGTTGACTTACATCATAATATGTTGAAGATGATTGTAACATGGACAGTTTTCATACTCGTTTGACGAAGGATCAGCTCATCTTCATCACAGCTTACTCTTCCATGTTGTTCAGTACAACCTAGCTTTAATACAGGAGTTGCTGCATGCTGATCTGCTTCAACAGAACTGTTCACAAGCTCCTCTGTGATCAGTGGTACTATTTATTTCTGTAAGGTCTATACATGTTATTTGCAATACTTTTGTGGGTGGGAAGTCTGGCATACCTCTGGAGCCTAGGAGTAGCCTGGGGGCCACACTGGAATTAGCTCATTCTGCTCCTCCAGAAATTTGGACCTAAACTCTAACTTACAGCATTGGACTCTAATTCACCATGACCTGAATCTCCTCTTGAAGCAAACAGCTGTTCTAAGGAATGAGGGGTGGCTGAGCACACTATTGAAGCTAATGCACATCTGAGCTTCATTAAATTGTGCTGTTTAAAAGCAGACCTATGCAATATGGCTTTTGGTTTGTCCCAGCCAAGCTGGTTCCATCAGAAGTCAAATGGCATCTATGCCACCCTTGCTCTGTAAAGCTGCTTAGGTGGCTTAGTACAAGCCATACCTCTCTACCTCCACTGCACCCTCAGGCAAACAGCAGTCAAAACTGTAATCTAGTTTTGCTTGCTATGAACTCAGACTGCAGAGTAATCACAGCTGAAAACCAGTCTTTTCAAACAGCACTTGCCATTTGACACTCATGTTTACTTTGAATGCTTAAGCAGGTTGCTTAACAAGGGACAAATGAGTGTGACCTTCGCCTGTGTGAAAGGACAAAGCACATGGCAGCTGTATTTGTATGAACTGCATGTTGGCAGGGCAACAGCAACAGCCACCTCTCTGTTTTCCCTCTATGGGAGTTTTTTATATAAGGAGTACCTAGAGGGCTGGTTCTTCATCCCTTCCTTGTTCCAGAATCCCCTGCTCTCTCTAGGGCTGCACATCTGTAGTTACTTTGATTACTGATGTGCAAAGTTTGATTATATGGCTATGGCCATTAAACTTGGGACTTGTATTTGCGTAGTGACAGTCTATTCCAGGTTCAACACCTCCTGATGCCTCTTCTAAGCCTGTTTGGGGTTTAGGCTGGAAAGCAGTAAGATAGGGTGTAGCTGTGAAAGAGTACTGTATCCCAGTACCTTTTAACTTTAGCACTACCTTAAGTTTTGGCTGTGTCTGCTTTAGCAATGGGTCACCTGCAGAATGAAAGAGCAGGTCCAGATGTCCAGGATGTGTTTTATATTGGGTTTTCCTTCGGATTTACTCTGGTGTGATCCTGCTGACTGAATGCTCACTAGCAACTGGAGCACTTCTGGAAGCCATCCTCTAACTTGCTTTCATTTGAAAGGAATCTAGTTTGTCTGCTCAGACCCTGCTCTGCGGTGTGAAACACAGCATGGTGAGTGGCAGCTCACCCGCTGGAAACATCAGAAGTGCGCAAGAGATAAGAACTTGTTATTTTCTTTAAACATAGTAATTTCAACAAAGCTGTAGTATAATCTAACACTTCTGCCACCTGCAGGATCAGTAACTGAGCTCTACATGGCTAGCCTTTCCCCAGGCTTGGTAGCTGCTAAGCCCCTCTTAGTTACAGTAATATCTGCAGTATTTAAAAATGAGTTTTCTAAGCAGCAAAAAGGTTGCTTGTTCTTTTTCTTCCTGTCAAGATGTGGCCTTCAGCAAATGTGGATGGCAAACAGCTTTCTACACTTGGCAGTGCTGGTATTGGCCAAGCACTAGACGAGTATAAGCATTTTCTGTATCCATCTCATGTTCTGTGCTTTGCTTTTCCTTAAACAGGTCAGTTCACATGGGCTGCTCCTGTTTAAACTTATTTTTACTGGGGAGCTCACATTCCCACAGTGTCATTTTTTGTCTCATGCTTTGCCTCAAGTCTTGTCTAATCTGTTACTGCTGCACCATTACAATAATATTTGTAATACTGTGTAGAAGTGAAATCTAAGTCAAAGACTGTTCATCTCACAGCCATAAATGCAAGTTGGATATAGCTAAGGAAAAAAATCTAAGTTCTATCTTCATAGATAGGTGTGGGGGCTTCTTCCCACAAGCATTTGAGAAAGATTTAGGTAACTGGCATTGAGACAAGTAGTATCTCTTCCTTCTAAGTGCTCAAAATTGTTTAGCACGTCCTTTTATAATGCTATTTACTAGCAATATGAATTTTCCAGTCCATATTGACTGGGTTTCATTAAATGCAAGTGGGCTGAAAGCAAACAGCAGTTAGCTGTGGTCCTGTAAGTAACTATAGTTGCTTCTTGCCTTGGGAGGCAACAGCACAGCTTATCTTCTGTTCAGCAAACTACCTTGCTGAAAAATATTATTCAGCCTCATTTTGCTCTAGCACATAACATATATCCATTTCTATATACTCTATTTATGGTAAAGCATAATTTGCTGGATTGGAAGCAGGATGCTTCCACCATCATATTTTCTGACTGTTGAACTATCAGAAATAATTAAAACCCCAGATCATTTGCAATGTATGTTACATAAGAAGCTATATGATACTATTATATTAATTTTTGCTCTATTCAGTAGGATCTGTCTTTGCTAAATGAGTAAACATTATCATTATCCTCAGAATTTTTATTAACAAGTTCAGAACAACAACAAAGGTCACACTGATTTCAGTAAATAGAAATCAAGCTCCTTCAAATAGAAGAGTTGCTGGGAATACGAACGCCTAGAAAATTCTGAAGAGCTGAAGTAGTGAGTTCTCCATCCTCTGGGGATTAGTATGAGCCCACTGCTTCTGTATTATAGTAATTCAATGCTGCACATTAAAAAACTCACAACACCAGTGAACAGGGCTTCTTGAACCACCTCACTGGTAACTAGTTGTAATATTGCACATCATAAATTTACCCTAAAAAAAACCCCCAGAACAACAAGCTGCCCTGGGCTTCAGTTTGATTCTAAATACAAGACTGGGATTACAAAGCAATGCATCAAAGGAGAAGAGCTAATAACAGTCAGACTAGAGCATGTCAGTTTCCACCCATATGTGATACAGTTCAAATGTTGGAAGTAGAAGCAGTCCATTAAGCCATATATGGCCAAGTCCTGCCTCTGACCACCCATAGGAAAAGTTGTACATAAACCCATTTCCCTGGCACTGCATAATGCAAAGGTTAACACAGAGAGTATCAGTTCCACCTGCCACAAACCTCATCATACAACCGCGTAGGTATACATCAGCTTCCGAGCCATTCTGATATTTCCACTGCTCTGATAAATAAGTGACAAGTTAAAGGCAGCATCTCTTCTCAAGTCTGTCTGATCAGTCTCTATTCCCTGTAAAAATGATGATGGAATAAAGTTATCTATGGTATAAAACTTGAAACATGAGTAACAATTATAGTGGAAACAAATCACATATTCATGGTTTATATATAGGCTTTTAGCTGCACAGGAACAAAAGTAGTAGTATTCCTTGCGCCCTCCCTCTTTAACAAGTTGCCACATGTTGCTCATCACAGAGTTACATAATTACATACTCAGGAGATCAGCTGTAAATGAGAAAGCCAGCTCACAAACCAGGAAAGTACTATCTTAATTTGTCTTTGCATGCAAGGTAGTTTTATCTCCAATCAGCATGTGAATACTGCCTGTATCTTCCACAAGATGCTGCTTTGAACTCCAGCACTAACACCCATGTTCCTCACTTTACCAACCTTCCCATCTTCTAAAGACACTTGCAATTTTACTACCTCCCC